CCACACTAGGGGCTATTCCAAGGTCTGATGCTCAGAATTCCCTGCTAGGCTCCCAAGGTCAGAAGGAAGATGGGGAAGAGAGGGATTAGGGTGGCTAGAAAACCTCAGGCTATGGCCCACACTGGGAAGTTCTCTGCATGGGCTCTTGGAGGCAGGTCCAGCTGTAGAGCCTCCTCTCACTGGTCCCTGGCAGCTTCAGCAACTCTGATGGCTCAGAGAACCTTAAATTAATCACCCACTCAAAATGCTGCCATCAGCCCAAGAATAATCACCTCTTGAAGCACTTCTGGCTCCAGCATTCCAAGGATATAGGCATCCACACCAACAGGGCTGAAGTCCTGTTGAAGTCCAGCAGAGCTTCCTCAATGGGAAGAAGGAATGTACTACTGAGTTGAGATGGGGTAGGCAATGAGACCTGACCTGACTACAAAGGAGAACTCAGGAAGCACGGAGCAAAGGGAGAGGAGGAAGGCAAATTAGGAATAAGATGGTGGCTCTACTCTCCCTCTCCTGACAAAGCCAAACGAAACAACTAGTGGTAAAAAACAGCAGCGAAAGATTGGGGTTATCTCTGAGACCTAGGCATGGTGCAAAGTTCTTAAGGACATCAGCTTTTCTTACTGACAAGGATGAAGAATGCTGTCATCTGAATCCCTACCTGGGAGGCAGAGGCCTAGGTTCCTGGCACGTCTCACTAGGTGTGACTCTAGAGGAGTATGTGCCCTTTTCTGTGCCCTGGTATGCCCAACAGTACGCCTCAGGGCTGGACAGAAGGATTCTGGGGGCCAGCAGAGTTCTGGGAAACCAGCGACTCCACGGCTACATGGTTCTGCGGCTGTCCTCCAAGGCAAATGAATGCACAGATAGCCACAGCTCCATAAGGGTAGCCCCAGAGGGGAGAGATAAAGGCAAAAACTCCAGGCATGGAGCCTGCTCTCAGGTGGCCTCAGGGTCCTGGATGAGCACATGTGTACATCTATGCAGTGAGTGACAGCTGCACTTCTCCAGATACCTAAGGGTACTGTGCACTAGATTCCTTTTCCTTGGATGTATGCTGCATAAGCATTTGTGACATCCGTGAGCAGGAGTGACATGGCTGCAGGAGTGTACAGGATACATCCAGCTGGCCTGTGTCAGGGACACGTACATCCAACAAAGGTATGACTGCGCTGGGTACACTGGGGCAGATGCCATTCAGGTCCGCAAACCCTATCACTGCCGCCTTCCCAGAAGTCAGTGTGTTGGGTGCTAGGGACCAATAGGTGGCATGGGAGTACTGATCTCAAGAGCCTAGGATTAGGGTGCTGCCTTAGGAGCAGACAACAGATCCACTTCCTATCAAGCACTGAATGGGGTTCTTCCACTTTAACTGAGTGACTCTCCTGAATCTCAGTTTCCTCATCTGTCAAACAGAGGATGATGGTAGCTGCCTCCCAAAGCTGCTGGAGGACACATGAAAGTAGTCTAAGACTGCTTAACATGGTGTCTGCATGCAGACAGTGCTGCTTGCAGCCAGGAATTTTGGTTCAAATTCCAAGGGCCACATCAGGCTGCTAGAGGGAGCAGAGGGAGCCATTCTGAATTGGAAGTCAGGAATTCTGGGGTCTTGTCCTCCACATCTGCCACCAACTGACCATGTGACTTTGGTCTCTAGAGCCTTACTTTTCTCAAAAGCAAAATGGGGCTGTGAAAATGTGAGGACCAGCATGGTGTAACATCTGAGGGTCCAGAGTATCCTTTGCAGAGATTATTTCCAGTCCAGATGATGTTCTTTCTCAGATGGCCAGGACAGGAGGTTGAAGACCTCCAGGGTTAGGAGTCTGAGGGTTCCAGGAGCTACCACCACCTCCTCCCCTCTCTATTCCCACTGCTTCTGACCCCAGGGACAAGGCTGAGGGAGGATGTTTACAAAGCAGTAAACCTTCACATAGAGAGAGTCTGCTGGGCAGCTTGGGGCTGGGAGCAGCAGGCAAGCGTCTCACAGTAGCTTGAGAACCATGGTGGGCTATAGCCCTTGCTCTGTATCAGCTCTTCCCACCTCTTGGACTCCAAGGGAGAAGCTAGTGGGACCTTCAAGAAGGTGCCACAGGGGTGAGCATTCCCAGCAGGGCCCAGGAAACAGAATGTGCAGCAATAGTCTTTTGCAAAATGCTGAGAGCTGGAAAGGGTTGAGAGCCCGTCAGGGGCTGGGCACAAGGTGACAAGGCCAAGGGCCTAAGTAGAGAGGAAGAGCTCAAGAGGACCCCTCATTCTGGATCTCAACAAGAAGACACAAGTTGCCATTCTCATTTCTCCAGCTACTGTGAGATGCTTGCCTGCTGCTGTTGGTAGGAGAGGCCAACTCAGGCTGTTCTATCAATGGGCAGTCCCTGATCCCTAGGTGTCAGAAAAGGTGCAGGTGTGCAGCTTGAAGGGTCCGGCTAGGAGCTGTGAGGGAGATGTCCCAAGTCCCTCCTTTTTAAGCCTTCTCTTCCAGGATTTACTGCACAGGCCCTTTTAGCATGGACCTGGACCTTTTGGAAGAGGGTCCTCACTAACTGTATGCACATGGGGTGTCTCTGAGGGAGACCGGGGAAGGAAGGAGGGGAGGATTAGACATCCAATGGCAGGAAGCACTTCCTAGCAAGAACACACAAGACCCTGCAGTGAGTGGCTGAGAAAACCCACATCTGGGTCCCTTCAGGAACATGAGCGACTTCTTGTGGCCTCCCTCCCCAGCCCCAATAGTAACAACCATCCCACAAGCTCTTTCCCATTCATTACCTCAATAAGAGGGAGACCACAAGTTTTGGGTTTTTATCAGTTCTGATGATCTACAGATCTAAAGTCTGGAGAGGTCCAGCGATGAACACAAAGTCACAGAGCACCTAAGAAGTGGGGCTTCTGGTGCCTCAGTCCACTTTGACCTCTAAGATAGATGACCAGTTCTTGAGACCCCAAACATTGGCACATTTTCATATTGCATTTCATATCCCCCAGAGCTTCAAGAAACAGCCCTTCAAGAAACAACTGGATGGGACAAGCATGACCCTGGGCAGGGCATTCCTGACATCCAGTAAGGGTAGGATGTGGGGCAAAGGTGTCAGTGGATTTAGCTCCAGGAGAAGAAGCACATGCCATTCCAGAGGTGTGTAACAGTACTGGCTAGGGGCACCAGCAGTGGACCATCACCTCCCATGCCCTGTGGGAGCTAAAAGACCAGATCTCAGCTAAGGAACCCCACTCAGGGGCAGACTGGCCTCCCCAGGCTCTGAAAAATCCCCTCCAAGAAGGGTACAGCTCTACTCTAGGTGTCTCAGCTCCTAGGACACCCAAAGGGGCTGCCACACAGCAGTAGGGATCAAACCCAGGCCTGGCCCATGCTGAGCAAGCCCTCTAACACTGAGCTACACCTTCAGCCCTCAGGCTGCTACTCTCAGTGAGCATCCTCTGCTCCTCACCTCCAACCCTACCAGCACTGAACCTCACCCAACCATCTTCTGTATCAACAAATGTTCATCCCAGCACTCCCAGGGGAAGCTTGACCTCCTATCTGGAGCAATCCCAGCTTGCCAGTGATCTCTGCTCAAAGTCAAGGCTGCAGCCCCCCCAGCATTTAATGGATGAAGGAGTCTTCTTTCTCTACCTCCCCCTGAGCCCCCTTCATTCCCTTCCTCTCTGAAATTCAGGGCCCAGTTCAGAAATGACAGAGGTGGGCAAGCCCAAAGCAGGACACACAAGAAGACAAAGAAGACAGGTGAGAAAAGCCAGGTAGAAGAAGAAAGGCTAATAGGTGGGCAGATGGACAGGCAGGTGGATAGACTGATTTATGGGTAACTGGACAGCCGGACAGAAGGATGGAACCAGACCAGCAGAAAGATTGCTGGATGCTTAGGTGGAGAGATGAATAGACAGGCCAGTATACACACAGGTGGAACTCAGCCTGGCAGGAGCACTGTTGGACAGTCAGGTATAAGTCAAAGGGGCCAACTAGGGACCCCAAGACTCTGGGAGCGGTGAGAATAGGTTAACAGCACATTTTCCAGGGACTTGTGGTTTCTCTCAGGCACTTCTGAGTGTCCCAGAGCCAGGCCCTTTAACTGATATCTGTGGGGCCTCTCATGTTCCCAGCTGGGCCAGGCCATCTCCTAAGACAGAGCTCTGAGCTGCCAAAATTCACTCTACATCCAAGAGAGGTCAGTGCTTTTGAAAGTTGTAGTGGACCAGTGAAGGGGAGGAGGCACTCAAAGCGTCAGTGTTTCCAAACATATCCCCCCCCCACCTCCTCTTTCTTTTTCCCCTGGTGCCCAGAGCCAGGCCTGGTCCAGCCAGCCAGCAGGGCAGGCACACTAGGCCCAGGCAGCAGGGCAGAGCAGGGCAACAGAACACTGTGCTGCTGTGAAGTCAAGGGTGGAGGGCAAGACTACTGAAGTCACAGATAATCCAGACTCCACCCAGGCCTGTTGGTGCCATAGGGACCCCCAAACACCTCCAACCAGGGGCTGGGAAGGGAGCTCTCTGGAGAGGTGTATTCCCAAGGGGAGCCCAGAAAGGAGCCCATCATAGCTCTAGAGCTGGGGAGGAGGTGAGAGAAGATATGGGGGGCCTGTGATCCTCTGTGTGGGCCACATAGGCAGACAGACAAGAGATGAGGAAAAGGGAGCCCCATTATAGTGGCTCCAGACTTTGCCAAGCTAAGGGGGACAATACACTGGATGTGAGGAGAGTGCCTGGGGCAGAGAGGCAGAGGCCAGCGACTCAGATGGAAACAAGGAACAGAGGTGGAAGAGGTCAGAAGTGAGGGCAAGCAGGGGTCAGGTCTGGGGGATTAGGGATTGGGGTCAGCCTGGGGAAGCCAACAAGGGTTCCCTGGCAGGAGCGGCAGAGGGCTGAGAGTCGCCTCCAGAACAAGGAGTGGGAGATTGGAGGCGGGGCCAGGGCGGGGCGGTGGTCCCCTGGGAGCCCGGTGGGCGCGGGGTCAGTGTAAGGGCAAGCAGAGGGGCGCAGGGTCATAGACTCACATGAAGACGTGGTAGACGAAGGCCCAGCCGCGGGGCCGCTCCAGCACGTTGTAGACCCAATTTTGCAAGCGACGGTAGCGCTTGTGCGCGGCGGAGGAGCGCTGGCCGCAGGCGGAGCCCGAGCCCGAGCCCGGCCCAGGGAGGGGCGCGCCCGGCGGCAGGGGGCTGCCCAGGAGGCCCAGCCGCCGCTGGGAGCCGCCCCCGCCCGCCTCGCCCTGCTCGCTCTGCACAGCGGTGAGAGCCACCAGCTCGGGTCGGGGGGCGTCTCCGGGTGGGGGGCCCAGGCCGAGGCGGCGCGGGGGGGCATCGGCCATGGGCGGCGTCAGGCTGGGGGCCTGGGGCTCTGTGCGGTCCGGAGCGGGGGCGCGCTCAGTGGCGCATGGCTCGGACCCGGGGCCAGCGGGGCGGGCTGGGG